TTTCATAATTCCGCTCAAAACGATCCCAGAACAATGAATTTGCGAGACGAACAGGCCGCCATGAATCAGGTAAAGCAATATGTTACATGCAATTTGATTGGTCCAATCGCTTGTAGTTAACCAATCGCTGGGCTGTTTATAATCGAGCTAAGACTTCCGCAACAAATAATGCCTTCAGTGATCTGATTAGTTGAAGCTTTCATACACGTCCAATCGCAGGGCTGTTTACAAACGGAAAACGGAGAGACTGTTCGGGAGAGCTCGTGAAAACTCGACGATAAGGTACCTGACCGCCCCTAAAATTTTCTCAACGGATTTAGACGATTCACAAAAATGATCAATTTAAGAAATAAAACGGCGGATTTCCGCGGATCCGCGGAAAATTGCCATCTATGATATTGGGCATCATTTTTCTTCCAAATCTTCCTTTAGACATTGATGAAAAACAACATTCCGTACGTGCGCACACACTCACGAACTGCGTCGCTCGGTGAGGTCTGGGCTAAATGCTGGCTGCCGGCAGTCACGCGCCTAAATGTAATCCTCGCCGTGCGGGAGTGGGTGTTGTACAACGGACATCACACACCGCAAGTTAATCGGCGAAGGGGTCGGGGATGGCTATCACCTGGTGCGACAGGCCCGTAAATAAACCGGCCGTTAGAGGAAATCAACATTTTCCCGAAATTCGCGACGGCCAGCACACCACCGGCGGTAGAACACACACGAATGAAAGGGATATAGTGCTTGCTTATTCAATTAGGGCTTCATTCCATCCGGCTTCAGCATTAAACAGTTTTCTATAGCAGTCACGCTCGTAACTGAGCGCACCTGCTCCACACATTCCTTCTAATTGCCGTTGCCTTCTCCCCCCACCCCCTTCAGTCTACGTCACACACGGCGAAAACGGTGCACTCCGCTATTCAGATGAAAAAAAAGCTAATAGGTCCCATGAAGAGCAAATTGTTACCTCTGCATAGCATAGATTTTGGAGCAACATAAAGAAACATCGAGCGATGCTTGTAAAAAATGTTGATGCAGCTGCCAAGACATTACTAAAAGGTAAACAAATTCACGTATTGACTTCAAATGTTACCTGTAACTTGAAATTTTGGCCTGGGATACCTGTGTGGCTTTTACTTCAAAGTATATAGGTTGAAAAGGATTTGCAAATCACCGTCTTCTATTTTTATTTGTGTTTTCCACAACATTCCAACCCCCATTTGAATTGGGGTATGTACATTTTGAGGAGACAATATGACATGCCAGAAGACAACCATTCCTTTATACCTGGAAGAACAAGTATGAGTACACAGCTGATTGAAGGTACCGTATTTTCCGCACTATAAGGCACTTTGGGGTATAAAGCGGCCCTCAATTAATGGCGTTTTCGGGTTATAAGGCACATAGAATAAAAGCTACAATAGAGGCTGCGGTTGTGTTATGCACCCACTGGATGAAGCATTGTGTAAGGGAATACAATACAATACAGCTTTATTTATAAAAGCCTTTCACAACTGCTGCAGCTGTAACAGAGCGCTTGACAGAACATTTAAAATACTACGTCCAATAAATCAGAATATTGATCCATAAAGAAGCACATCGGATTATAAGGGGCACTGCCGGCTTTTGAGAAAATGTACCGTATTTTCCACACTAAAAGGCGTACTGGATTATGAGCCGCACCTTCAATGAATGGCCTATTTTGTAATTTTTTTCATATATTGGGCGCATCGCATTATAAGACACAATTTACAATGCATCCACGAGATGGAGCTACGCTCAAGGAAATGCCAACAGAGGGATCAGTTGTCAGTAAAATGTAAAGAGACTGGACTGTCTCTTACAGCACTGTGTCGGGGTCTACATAAAAGTACTACGCGGATTGTATTTACATGGAATCTTACCTCTCTCTTTCAGAATTTCAGCCATGTAGTTATCCTCTCCAAACAGTTGATCCAGCTTGAATTGGATCCAGCAGCCAGTCGTGTCCCTTTGCCGGCACAGCGAGTTCGAAAGAGTGAAATGATCTACCATTTTATGCGAAATACTCGGTCCGCAAGCCATACTGCAGTTTTTCTTTAATGGACCAGATTGAAAGCCAAGGCATTCAATACAGTTCCTGAAAATAGATGAAAAGGAAAAGAAAATATGATGAGGGTCCATTGAAGTCATTCACTTAAAAATTGCTGAATGATTAAATGACTTACAGTTTGATTTGGCAGGCATCAGGGCAACCGAGACATGTCTGGCAATGTGGACGTTGGTATCCATTTTTACACTCACAACGGTTACACTTGCAAATCCCTCTGTCATAGCAAATGGTATTATTCGGGGTCCGACACCCTTCCTTTGATACTGTGCATTGACATGCTGAGCCATCAAAGCCCGCGTAGCATTCACATTTGCCGCAGTTGCACTTACCATTTCCTATCAGTTGAAAGGAATAGAAAGAAAACGGACTCAATTGTACAGTTTGGTGTTTGAAACAGATGTTGTAAAACAAAACTGTCATCTAGTGGTAGGAAGTTAATTGCTGCAATTTATCTGCAATTCCAAAGATCCAAATATGGATTTCCACATATCCACATTCAAGGTTCTCTCGATCAATTTATTTCCCCAAAACGTAGCCCACCATGTTCATTTATATAATCGAGTTTACTGTTATTGGTTACTGCTAATATTGTGAAATGTTCTGAATTTTTGCGTAATTTTCACGATTTGCATATTTAAAGATTTGAAAACCAATAAGAGAAGCTGAAAAACTCTCAAATGTATGGTGAGCCAGTGAGGAGATGCCAGAGTAGGAGTTATGTACTCCCTCTTACGAGTACCCGTCAAGAGGAGAGCAGCAGCAGTTTGGACCCACTGGAGACGCTTTATGGAGGATTGGCTGACTCCAAAGTAAAGTGCATGATAGTCAACCAGCCGGGATGTCACGAAGGCATGAATTACTGTTTCAAAGTGCTCATGAGAAAGGAGAAGTTTGACTTTAGCCATCTGCCAAAGATGAAAGAAGCTGGATTTAATTTCACTGTCCAGTTTAAGACCCAAGTTCGAGTCTGTTAGCTTAAGATAAGGAGCCAGAGGGCCCAAGTCTGCAGGATGGAATGTACAAGGGCCACTGGGACCACACACCATCAACTTTATTACACAAATTTATAACATTGGACATTAAATATCATATTATAATAAAACCATGCCTTTTTGGACATCATTCTAGGAACTTGCATATTGTTTCCATTTTATTTTTATTAATCCATGTACAATACGATGGGATGATTTTGTGTCATTTTCGATGGCACAATTTTATTCACTGGATTTTTATGGTACTCTGTGAAATCTGGCCTTGTATAGTAGTTGAATACAAAACACAAAGTTATATACTGTACAGAGTATTTGAAGGGAGCCACGACTTATTCTATTGTATGAATGGCAGCACGTGGATTCACAGGTTGGTTGCACTTTTTGCCATCCAAGTGAAGAGCAGTTTTTTGTTATGCCTGCCACGAAATGCCGCCGGCATCGCCAGAAAAATGGAATAAAAATAATAATTTAAATCATGATACAATAACAATAATATGAATCAATAATAATGTGAAAATAGAGTATACTTTCATTTTTAACCTAACTATAAAATACATTGTGTGCATGTGTCACATTAATTTTAACCGGATAAGTACAGTCAAGATTTGTGTTATTCTTTTCCTTTAGCTCTTTTAAAAATTATTATGATTATTTAGCGCCAGGCGGCCCGGTGACCAGTGGTTAGTGCGTCGACCTCACAGTGCAGAGGTTGTGGGTTCAATCCCGGCTCCGGCCTTCCTCTGTGGAGTTTGCATGTTCTCCCCGTGCCTGCGTGGGTTTTCTCCGGGTACTCCGGTTTCCTCCCACATTCCAGAAAAAAAACATGTATGGCAGGCTGATTGAACACTCTAAATTGTCCCTAGGTGTGAGTGTGAGCACGGATGGTTGTTTGTCTGTGTGTGCCGTGCGATTGGCTGGCAACCGGTTCAGGGTGTCCCCCCCCCACTGCCCCAAGACAGCTGGGATAGGCTCCAGCACCCCCCGCGAGCCTTGTGAGGATAAAGTGTTTCAGAAAATGGATGGATGGATGGATGGATGGATGTTCAGCCCCACCAAGACCCCTCTAGTTATGTCTTTACGTATAAGGAACAAACATACCTCCGCATAATTTATTGTGGAATTTCTCACAGTGTTCATCGTCACATTCACAGAAGTCACCGTAGTAACTGCCTCCACTTGCTGTTGTGTGGCACTGGCATCTGCCACACACGCAATCTCCATGACTCTCACATTCAAGACCACTTTGGCTCAGACATGATCCTCTCAGTGAGTGTTCATCTTTGTTGCCAATGTCGCATTCACAGAACTGACCGACGGAGCCTTGATTGCAACTTAAAAAGAAGGAGAGAAACTATTAGCAACCCCCAAAAAATTCCAAGACTTTGAAGTTCAATGTCTATATAATGTTCTATACATCACTCGTGCACAAAAACACAATGCTTTTAGGAGAATAACTCAATCTTCCACTCAGTTTTCTAACGTGATCAATAAAACAAACAAAAAAAAAAAACTGCAAACAAATGGTTCTCCCTCCGAGTTATTGAAAATGCTCAGTGGCGTATCAAACTCAAGGTAGGCGGGGCAGGGCCCGCCCATCAAGTCAAGGCATTTCCTTGACTTCTTCCAATGTCCACCTCATTCCTGAGGACTCTCATGGAGAAACAATTATGCCCGTGACTACCGGTAAGAAAAATTCAGGTAAGAATTTTGCTATTTGTTACAGCGGGTTTAATTTCACCGGGATGTTTATTTGAAAAAAGAAAAAAGAATCCCCCTCCCCCCTTTTTAAGCCCCCATAAGCCCCCATTGCATTGAAAAATGTTTTGCACAGCTTGGAAATTTGTTGGCGGTTGTACTCACAATCAGAATCGGGACCAGATTTATGAGCCAAGTGTGTAAAACACACAAGGAATTTACCTTCCCATTTACAACCCGTGCAGAGAAACCAACAATAACAATGACCAACAGAGGGAGAGAGAACGGGAAGCCTCTTTGATATTTAATGCCCTGAGATTTGGACCTCTGCCCTGAGAACTTCTCTGAAACCAGATCCCTTTGAATTTTAATTGAAGATCCCTGATATAAAGGCAACAACGAGTTTGTTTTCATGTCAATAAAAGATTGTTACTCTGTATGGATGTAAATAACTTAGTAAGTAAGGTAAGTAAAAGTAAGCAAGGTAAGTAAAGTAAGTAAGTACGGTAAGTAAATCACTTGGACTTGATCATTTTAGAAGTAGATGTAAGCCAAGTTGGACTACTTAATTTCACTGTTGCTGCCCAGGGTGGCCCAAACAGTTATTCGGTTTTCGGGGCAAGTCGTTTTTCCGCACAGGGACAAGTTGCTTTCTTTTCACTTAATTATAAAATCACTGGCGGCACACTGGTTGGCTGGTTAGTACGTCTGCCTCACATTACAGTGGTCATCGGTTCAAATCCAGCCCCGTTCTTCCTGTGTGGAGTTTGCATGTTGTCGCCATCCCTGCGTGGGTTTTCTCCGGGTACTCAGGTTTTCTCCCACATTCCATAAACATGCATGGCAGGCTGATTGAACACTCCAAATTGTACCTAGGTGTGATTGTGAGTGTGAATGGTTGCTCGTCTATGTGTGCCCTGCAATTGCCTGGCAACTAGTTCAGGTTGTCCCCCGCCTACTGCTTCAAGACAGCTGGGAGAGGCTCCAGCACGACCGCGACCCTTATGAGGATAAAGTGGCCCAGAAAATGGATGGATGGATAAAAATCACCATTTAAAAACTGCATTTTCTGTTTACTTGGATTATCCTTTTGTTTGATCATCTTAAATGTTGAAGTGGAGAAACTATGCAAAAAAAAAAAAAAAAAAAAAAAGAAAGAATTTGAGCAAAAAGGGCAAAAACTATCTACAAATTTGGAATGGAGTGCAATGAGAGTCATGGTCCTATACACCGCGACACTGTCAATTTGGTCACAAGAAAGGCACCAACCACCTCTTTGGCACAGCACCATTTGTGTACCCAATGAGCCATGTGTGTTTTCTGGTTCTTTGTGTGATGGAATGAATGCATCGGAATGGAAACTGGAGTTTCCTTTCGGGGGGAATGAATAAATTATAAACTACTGTATGATGAATTAAAGGATAAAGCTTACCTGCAAATACCACATCTTATTCTTCCTCTGCCTTTGCAATATTGTTGGCTACTTTCGCTTGGGTCTTTACACTGACACTCACAGCTCGAAGATAAGCTCACTGTCAACGTGTCTTTAATACCAAGTGGTCTGATCGAGAATGTCTTGTTCTCGATGCATGAGTCCGCTGTTACTGTTACATCAAAAGAAATCTGTGGGAAAATATTAAGAGTCATTCTGAGAAATTGTATATATATA